AAAGAGACTTTGCCCAAGGCGTCAATCAAACCTAGGTAAACTACATCTACCACATTCCTTTGATCTACCATCTATTAACCCTAGAAAAAGGATTAGAAAGGGATTGAAAAAGGAAACATGTCTAGTTTGGCATAATCTGTTCCTGATGAAGGCATACGGCATCTTTGTAATTGCAGCTGCGGGGGGGCGGGGTGCGGCGCGCGCATAGTGGACAGAGTACCTGGCCTGGAGTCAGGAAAATTTGAGTTCAAATCTGGCCTCAGACATTTATGAGCTGTGTGACCCTGGGCAAGTCACTTTACCCTGCTGGCCTCCGTTTCCTCATCTGTAAAATGGGCTAAAGAAGGAAATGGCAAACCACTCTAGCATCTTTGACAAAAAAAACCCAAATGGGGTCATGAAGAGTCAGACATGACTGAAAATGATTGAACTGAACATGTTAAACCTTTTCTGTGTTATGAACCCAACTGGTGCCAGTCTGGTGAAGCCTACGGATAGGACCCTTCTCAGAATGACGTTTTTTAATGCATAAAATAAAATACAGAGAATTGCAAGGAAAACCAGCTTTATTGAAATACTTATTAACATTACGGCTTGTCTACCAACTCCCTATTAACCATTTTTGATCTATCCTTTCTGGTCCAAAGACCATTCTCTTTGGAAGGGAAAATAGAAACAAAATGCAAATTGAGAGGTTCTGGCTCGTCCCAGTCATCTCTCATCATCCTTCTTATTCCCAAGCAATGGTCCAATTCGTCTTTACTCCTCCTTTTCCCCTAATCCAGCTTAAAAAAAGAAAAAGTACCCATTTTTACTATCCTTAATTTTCTTTTGCCAGGTTTGGCTCCCTTGGAATTTTAGAACTCCCAGCATGATTCTTACAAAACCACCTGCCCCTGGTTCCTCTCTTCAGCTTGTTTGCTTGTTTATTTTTAATATAAATTTGTTCATTCCTTTAACAAACACTGCTGCTTGGGGAGTTTCTTGTGCACTCACAGAAGGCTCAGATTTACACAGCTCCCCTTTTCCCCTCCTCACAGGAGTTGATTCTTTGTGTTTTTATAGTGTTCCTACATCCTGGAGAAGTGACTTACTCTAGAATTTTGGGCACAGAAGCCTACCTTTCTCTGAACTCCATGAACTGCTCAATTATAATAATAATAATACTGATGATATTACTAGCATTTATAAAAGCACTATGCTAAGTGCTTTTTACAAATATTTCATTTGATTCACACAACTAGGTAGGTAGGTAGGAGGGTGCTATTACTACGCCCATTTTACAGATGAGGAAACTAAGGCAGGCAGAGGGTAAGTGACTTGCCCAGGGTCACACAACCCAGTAAATGCCTGAGAGGGGATTTAAACTCAGATCTTCTTGACTCCAGGTCCTGAGCTCTGTGCACTGTGGTGCCACCTAGTGGCCTCCGTACTTTCACTGTTCCTTTCTTTTCTCAGACCTTAAGCAGCAAGCACTTCTATATATTAAGCACAATCTATTTTGTGTTCCTTATGTATATTGATTGGTATCTTATTCCCTGATGCCTCCCCATTAGAGCATAAATTCCTCAAAGACAAGGACAGGCATTCATCTCTGTATCTCCTCCAGGGTCTAGCCCAGTCCATATTAGGTGCCTGATGTTTACTGATTTTAATTGAAATCATGGAATTAAATACAACTTGGAATAGTGGATGTTGCAAGTTCATATCCTGCTTTGCCCCTGCCCCTGGAACTGGAGGCAGACACTTCCTTACTCTGAGCTTCAGTTTCCTCATCTGTGAAATGGGAGAGTACGACATCTGCCCCGGTTACCTCACTTGGGTAGCAGTGGGAAAAGAGGGATTGTGGAAGATTCTCATTACCACTGCCATCAAACAAACCATCAATTGCATTTTGATCCCGTAGCACTTTGAGTTCCACTTTTCATCAACAAAGAATCCTAAGAGGATTGTACCCAAGCAAATCCACCTACTTCTACAACTTAGGTTCTATAAGAACTGAGAATCTTGCTGATATAATTTCATTTGTCACTTTAAGATTAAAATTTAATTAAATATTATTAAAATTAAAAGAATTCTTTCAGAGAACACTTTAACTAAGGAATCACAAAGGGTTGTTTTTTTCCCCCCTTCAAACATCGTCAAGTGCATAGTTTACTCTCTTTCTTATAGACTGAGAGGTCGCTTGGTGGTTATAACAGATATTGTTGAACCTGGAGTCAGAAAGACCCAGTTTCAAATTCTGCTTCTGATACGAGTGTGACTCTCGGTAACTCATTTAAACCTTTGCCCTCCTCAGTTTCTTTCTTTATCTGTAAAATAGGGATAATGTGAACACTTACCTCTCAAGGTTGTGGTGATGATCTAGCGAGATAACATATGTAAAGAGCTTTGGAAATCTTAAAGCTCTATATAAATGCCAGTTATTTTTATAGGGAGATAGTAAGAGGTAGAGCAAGAAGCAATTAGGGGCAAAGGGTAGGGAATGACTCTTTCCCTAAAAGGAAAAGTTTCAATGGAATGAAGCTGGGACTGCACGATGTATAGCATTAAATGACTGTGGTTCATCACTAATGCTGGTCTGAGCTGATTTATCAGCAGGGGACTCTGGGGGACTGAGGATTGAGGGAGAGATGTTTTTAAAACCTGCAGCCTTAAAGTGATGCTGCATTTAAGTATTCTAACACATCTTAAACCAGCAGAATACTCAGAAACAACTGAGTTTCAAACCTTACTAGCTTTGTGACCCTGGATAGGTCACTTAATCTGTCTACTGCAGTTCCCCCATCTGTAAAATGGGGATAACGATACCACCTATTTCCCAGGGTTGTTTGTAAAGTGCTTTGCAGACCTTCAAATCCTATATAGATACTAGCTGTCACTATAGTAGACAGAGTGCTGGATTTGGGAGTTACTAAGACCAGGCTGTGGATCCCACCTTGGACATTTACTAGTTGCATGACTCTGGAAGAATTGCTTAATCTGTTTTCAGTCTCCTCATCTGTAAAATGGAAATAATGCAAATAGCATCTAACTCCCCAGACTGTTGTGAGGACCAAAAGACATAGAATATATAAAGAGCTTTGCAAATTTTAAAGCTTGGAAGTTTTGTTGTGTAACAGTCTATAAAATACTGCTCACCCAAGAACTTCTCATAGTTGGGTGAGAATTATCGCATTCATCTTCACCAAGCCCTCGGACATGAGGATTGGTGGCAAATACCCCGAGTCTATGCTTTTATTCATACTGTTAGTTGTACCTGGAAGGTCCCCCCTTTGAATTTCTATCAAACTTTCAAAGCTCAACTTAAATGTCGCATCCTCCAAAAAACTTCCTTAGATCATCCCAACGGGTAATGACCTTCTCTCGCCTCCAGAGGACACGTTGTTTTTGTGTTTCTATAACTGTTTCTATTGTGGTATGACACAGTTATCTGTGTTTGTGCTCTACCTTCCCAAGATGTTCGGAGTTCCACAACTGCGAAGATTCAAGTGTTTCTCTGCATAGAAGAGGGACTTAAAATCTATGCTCTGCATAGAGTAGGGACTTAATAAAATGTTTATTGGATTGAAAATATATCCGGAACCTAGGAACAAAGAAATTAATAGTAGTTGCAAACTCCATTAGGAAGTAGGTTACCAAATTGAAACCTGAGGGAGAGATGGGATTTTTTTCCTTCAGTCAGTCATAGGCATGCACCCTTCTTAAAAAAGGAAGCAGGAAGAGGCACCTTTTGTCCTGGCTGTTTTCACCTGTGGCTGTTTGAGCACAGCCCTAGGGAGTTTGTGATGAGTACTACTACTTGAAGGAACCTACTGAATTACTGGCTACCTGAACAAATATACCAAAGCATCTCATTCTCAAACCCAAAGACCAAAAATGGCAGCTGCTTCCTCCTAGGCTTGCTCCTACTAATAAGCATTTTTCCAACCACCTGAAACCTCCCCATTTGACATCTGCCTACATGTAAATGTGGCTCTCTGATATACTTCATGCATGGGGTTCCAGAAAAGGAACTCCACAGTTAAAATTCAGTAAACCCCAGAGGGTTCCTATTACCTCCAGGACCAAATATCAACTACTGGGTTTGGCTTTTAAAACTCATCATAGCCTGGTCCTTTCCTTCCTTTCCAATCTTCTTACACCTTATTCCCCTTCCATATAGTCTGACTGAAAGACACTGGCCTATGTGGCACTCTGAGCATTTGTGTCCCCCACCAATGGAACCCTCTCCCCTCCCAATCTCTGTCTCCTGGCTTTAGGAAAAGTCCTATCTTCTGCGAGAACTATTGCCTTCCCTCTGCTGACCATCTCCAATTCATCCTGTATATCTCTTACTTGTACATAATTGTATGCTGTCTTCCATTGTTAAACCAGGAGCTGAAAGCAGGAACTAGATTTTTTTTTTGGTCTTTCTTTGTATCTCCAGGGCCTAACACAACTAGCACACAGTAAGTGCTTAAATAAATGCTTACAGTTGATTTAAAATGGCAAAGATGGCCCTAACTGAAAAGGGATCCTGGAATCATAGAATGTCCGAGCTGAAAAGGTCCATCTAGTCCTAGCTGGAGATTGTCCAGTCCAGGGGTTCTTAATCTTTGTGTGTGATTGGATGTTTTGGGCAGTCTGATGAAGCCTATGGATCCCTTCTCAGAATAATCTTTGTAAATAATTGAATAAAATGCTAAATTTCAGTTGGAGGTTAATGAAAATAAAAATGTCATTTCCCACCCCCTACCCCCATCTAAGTTCACGGATCCACTAAAATCTATCCACGAAGCGAGGGGTCTTGGAACGCTAGGCTAAGAACCCTGATCTAAAGCAACCCCCCTCATCTGACGGGTACATAAACTGTGAAGGATCCTGACCTGAATTAAAAGGAAAGAGTCTATGTCAAAGATCCACATGGTGCCTCGGGGGAAAAAAAAAGACATCAGCTGCCCACACCATCTATAACAGTATTCTTTGGATTGATACACATATCCACACATAGGCCAACACACGGATAATAAATACATGTTTTATATATACACACATACAAAGAACCACATCTGTAAGGTTTAGAAGGTATGAAATGTATGGTACAGGGAGGTACTTGTTATAAAGAGGTACTATAATGTATTTTCAAAGAGTCAGGAAGTGAAAAAAAAAATGGCGAGCAGAACCTTGAATCAGAGGTAGCCTTACAACAGAGAGATTGAATATAGGGGATGTTAGAGGAAAACAAAGCAACAGAGGGAGCTGGGAAACACAAAATTCAGTTGAACAGAGTCCTACTGGGTCTTAAAATAAGTTTGAAGTATCTACTTTTGTTAATACTCCAGGCTGTAGCTCATTGGTTGAAAATGCCTACAGCCTCAAGCTCTAATACTTCTGAGAAGTCACAGATAAGAACCTACTCCTCTTGGCAGATAACTCCCCACCCCCTACTCCTTCAGAAAAAAAAATGGGTATACATACCGGTTTACAGTTACATTATTTCAAGATAAGCACTTGTTGAAACAAAGGAAGAATAACGCCTTGGGGACTGACTAGTAATGGAGACCTAGGTTACATAACTGATCTGCTCCAATTAAAATGCCCAGGAATTTTTTTTTCTTTCTCTTCTGCTCCTCACAACCAGGAGGAAAAGGCAGAATTCAGAACAACAAAAGATCAGCTCACACTTTCACATACTTTCTTCTCCATTGGTCCTGTCTGGTTGGGAGGGTGAGGGGCAGGAGAGAGAGGCCTTTCTGTAGTTTCATTGACTATACTTTTGCTCAAGACAAAAAAATAAAAAAGGCCTATTTTAAAACAAGTAGTTTCCCAATTTTGTCCCCCTTCCCCATGTCGGGCAGTCACTTAGTTTTTTTGATCCACTGGTCTTATAACTCTACTTCACTGAAGTCTTCAAGCTTCAGAGTATGGTCAGAAGTAAGCAGTCCCATTGATCTGAGACACCCCCCCCCCCACCCGGGATGAAAGACTCATTCTCTCTAAAACTTCTAACTCTTATGGCAAAACTCTGTCTCAGAAGTATTAGGGGTGAGGCAGGGAAGGAATAAGGAGGATGGAAGGTGCGGAATGGAATATCTGAGTTGAGGGAAAAGGAGGAAGGGAAGAGCCGGGAAAAGCTAAATAATCTTCCTGAGTTCACTGTTAAGAGCAAAACAAGCTTTATTCGCTAGCTAAGATGATAGCCAGTGATACAACCTCTAGGGGAAGATTCTCCCCCAGTGATGAGACAAGCTGCTCTTAGCCATCAAGGCCTGCGTGGGAAGTTAGGGTACCAAAGTGAAACCTGCACGTTTCACTGAATGTTCCCACTCCCCATTCTCCCTAGAATGAGCTCGCCCAACACCTCTAACAATGGACACCTTTCTGAGGAGTTACTCCGTACAAAACTGCTGTCACATTCTCTTCCTAGGTCTGTCCTTGTTCCGTCCTGGGCAAGGACATGGTGCAGCCCCCTCCGCCGAGGCCACTATTTCAACACAACCATTTCGGGTATTCTCAGCTGCCCCTCTGGGTCTCAGCTCATAGCTCCTTCCATACTGAAAACTCCTCATACATTTCTTTTAAAACTTTTATTCAATAATATATAATTTTTTAATTATAATATATAACTGTCCATCATGCCATATATTTCCCCCCATTTCCCCACGGTGGAGTTTGTGGCCAGCTAGTTAATACAGTTTGCTGGGGAAGGGGCGGGACCATGGAACCAAAGGTCAGTGGGTTGAGGTGGGGATATAGGAAGTGGGGGAGCAACATTAACCCACAGCCATTTTGCATACCCTTCACATTTTCCATGCTTTCTGGGTCAGAAGGAAGTCAACAGGAAGTCAAAGGCGGATGAACCTTTCACATTCAGAAGTAAGGTTTGTTTTACAGACTGTTGGTTGGCATTCAGCTGGTGTGGTTCCTGCTCTCGTAACCTGCCACATAACGTGTCTGGCCGCTGCATGTGGTCTCTGTACACACACGTTTTTAAGACATTTGATTTGGTTCTTGTTCTGCTTATGGAAAAGTGGGAGAAACAGCATCAGACCTGGGGAGAGATAGGAGGAGGGGAGAGATGAGGTTAACGAGGCTCATCATGCTTCGGGGCTGTGCCTCCACCATTATCTGGGCTAGCTGGCTGACGGGATGCCCACTTCCTATTCAGCTCCAAAAGCTAGTGAAAGAGCCAACCGGCCATTTTCTTGAATGTAGGATTACTCTAGCTTTTCTTCTAGTCCTCTTTCCCCTTTCCCACGATGTTTCTCAATAGCAAGCTTTGTGCCAGCATCCCCATCGATGGAATGGGGTCCAGCGACTCGATGCTGTACTACAGACTGACCGACATGCTTCTCCATACCTCTTAACACAACTATGAGCTAGTCTTCCCCAGATTCTAGAGGCCATATTGGGGGTTCCACAACCCCTCTACCATCATGGGAAGCTTCGTAACAGCAGCCAAACTCTGGAGCCCCTCTCTTGAAGGCTAGGAATCCCCATAAGAAGAAACGTCTAAATCTCCTTTTAGCTGTGATAATGAAGTCTGACTATGGCTGTTTCCCATTCTACTTTTTCGGGGGGGGGGCTGGAGGAGGGAATTTTGTTTTGAGGTCCAAGAAGTTAGAGAGATGTTTCTCCTCCTCCCCACTTTGCACTCCATTGTAAAGTTGTAGGGACAGCAACATACCAAAAAGGAAATCTTGAAAGCTGTCTACACAACTCAACTAAAGCACCAGAGAAGGCCTCAAAGTTCTCTGGGAAGTCGGTATATAAAGTAAATTCATTTTTGTAAAAATTTTATTTTTAAGATAAAAATGTTTCATCTCTACTCAGATATTTTGGTGAATCTACAAAAACATGGGTGTGAAATCTGAGGAAAAATAATTAAGCCTCACTAATACTCCAGTATGTGGGACAGTAGGAAGAATAAACCTAAATAGGTCTTTCTCTTGGGATTTTTTCCTTATGAGGCCTGGATAGAATGAGTGTGCAAGAAAGAGGATATATAAGAAACTCAAGGAAGCTGAACTTTCAGGATTCCAAGTTTGAAAGGGAAAATCATCTTTTGAGAATTATGCATATGGTTCAACTTAAAAATGAAAAGCAAAGACTTACTGCCAACCAGAATTCTATAAAAGCAGCATTTTAGTTCATCTATGTCACCCAAAAGTGAGCAACAGAATAAGACACTCGATTTGAAGAGTCAGGGCCTGCCTATTTCTTCCAAGTGATGCTGTCTATAGCAAAGGGGAAGCTCCGAACAGGATACCCCTCCAACTCCTTTAAATCATGGGAATCAAATGCAAACACCATGGAAACAGTCTCAGAGTAAGACTCAAGAAATGGGAAATGCAAGAGTTAAGGTTGTCACAGCGACCAGCAGCCAAGTCTCCCCACACCAAAGATTTGGTTGTTAGATTTTTTATTTATGACAACAGGCTTGATTGAACATGGCATTTTTCTCCCCTCTTCTCTAAGGGCAGAAGTAGCAGCACAGATCATACAAGGGATACGTGACCATCAGATCTTAAGGAGTCATTTGTCTTAACTAGCTCACAGCTCAGGCGTGATTTTTCGGTCAGCAGGACACGGTCAGCATCCTAGTTCTTGGTGGCTTATCCGTGCTTTTCCAGGTGGGCGTCATAATTTGTCCCCAAAGTCTTAAGCGCCATTTTCAGCCAAGATGGCCAGCAGTAAAAAAAAACCTGCCAATTTGTTGGTACTGTAAAAGACTGCTTAAAAAATAATCCCTACACAATTCATTTAGGGGTTAAGGATCACATTTGTAGAAAACTTTATTATGGCCCTCTATTTCTTTCCCCAAGTGCATGCCTATATATTCCTACTGAAGTGTGGTTCCACTTTCCAGGATATGGGGGTCTTATTTTCTTTAAGAAAACCATACAGTTAATAACCACATTTAATCTAGCAATTATTGGAGACTCTACAGTGCTACATCTCCACACTTCTACTTCCTACTTTTTAATTCAGCTCTTTCTCCCACAGGTTGTTACTTTTTTTTTTTCCAGTTTCTAATAATTTACCAAATTCAGGGTGGAACCCTTCTCTGCAGCTCTGAGAATAGGATGTAACATTTTTAATGGTGAGTGGGATTTGTTTTCAATGGCCTCTAGCCTTTTAAAGCTGTTAGCCATTTTTATGGGCAGGAGAGGTTGCATGCTCACAAAAGGTATCCCAGGTTTCTGCTCCTAAACATAGGTTTCATCACACCTGGCAACAAGTCACATTACCTGGGATCATTTGGGTTTTCCTGATGAGCCTACTTTAAATCTCCCACCCCCATTCCCCCAGCGGATGCCCATGTAATGCCCCTCAATGGTTTGGCACCAGCACCTCCACGTTTCCACCCCACCCTTATTACCTGAATAAGCACACTTTCAGACACCTGTGAGGGACCTCATCAGTCTGTTCACAGGGTCAGTGTCATCCTAGACCCTATTACTTCACTCACTTGGGTTCTAAAAGGATGACACTGTATCTCTGGCTCGCACTTCCAGAAGGCTCATCCTGACACTCATCCCAAGCTTGCCTTCTCTGAAGAATACTTCCTGGCATCCCTCTCCTCCCCTCAGAGCTTGTTTCTTCACTTGCTTGGTCTGTAGTACATAGAATTCTTTTAATTTACATTTCCCCCAACCATCCTTTGCCCTGACACCACCATACAGGACCTCTGCCTAAGGCCCCCACGTTTCCTTAGTTCCTCTCCAAACACAGCACTCCAGAACGGTCCAGGTCCAATGGCCCAGCTGGCACATCAAGGCCACTTTTATGGCTCACAAAGCACTCCATTTACACAGGTTAAGTCTCATCTGACCCTCACAACAACCCTGTGAGGTAGGTGCCATTACTTCCATTTTACAGATGAGGAAACTGAGGCTGAAAGGGGTGAAGGGGCTTATCCAGAGTCACAGAGTTAGGAAGTGCCTGAGTAGGGTTCTCAAATGCAGATCTTCCTGACTCCTAGCCAATGCTCAGCAGTAAAATCACTGGAACCAACCCGATTATCACCTTGCTCAAGACCCTTCCCCTCCCTGGGCCTCAGCGTCCTCCCCCTCCTCTGTAAAGTCAGGGGTTGTTCTAGATAGCCTCCGACAACCCTTCTGGCTCTAGAGCCAGGATTCTATTACTAGTCAAAACTGTTTGCCCCGGGCCCTGAAAGTGTCTTCGGCACAGAACACCACGGCTAGGACACTCAACTGAAGGACCAGATGTGTCTGAAATGACTGACAGGGAGGAACAAAGGAAGAGGTTTGGACCATCTTGTCAAACTGGGCTTCTTAATTCTCTTCCACTCTAATGACTAACAATCAGGGCAGGAACAAAGGTGAGGATGAGTCTATCCCCTTGACTGAGACCAAACTTCACAGAACAAAGGGGCTGCACCTGAGGACCTAGAGGGCCACATATGGCCTCGAGGCTGCAGATTCCCCACCCCTGGCTCTAACTATTACTGTCAAATTCCAGGGCTGGAGTCTTTCTGTGACTAAGGTTAATGTAGACCAGAAGTGAAATATCACAAGTACTTCATTAAATCTTATGGTTACTTAGCAGCTCCAGAAACTCTTGAATAAAAATATTGCTTTGAAATCATGCTTATTAATTGCTAATAAACCATCACATATATTAAATCCCACCCAAATGGGCTTAGGAACATGGGCAGTACCTGAGATAGCAGTGAAACACTAGCTTAACGACACTGCTCCGTTCTCTCCATGTTCCTCTGCCTTTCCTTAGGAAAGTATAGATATAGCTCATTACCAAAGGCACTTTGCTTCTGTTCCTATTTATTAGAAAGAATTTCAGATTAAAATGACTGGGAGGTGATCTAGTCTGAGAAACACCACTGGTTTTTTTCTAAGGTAGGACAATCAGTTACAATATATGAAGTAATAAATATCCTTTGGGGAATCTATGATTCATCTTACCCCACATTAAATTCAGTGCTTCAGCAGCTAAGGAGAATTAGCTACTCCAGACAACAACTGTTTTGAGGCAGAGGTATGTAAACATCCAGATTATATGGACTCTGATGCAGAACAACACACTGTAAAAGAAAGAAGCCGAGACATGCAGACAGGGCCTGCTGGGAAACTGCTTCAACAAGAAGGTAATGAGGATCTAGTCCTGTATCAAAGCTGAGGTTAAAAATGCCATGGACAGGCCAATGAAGTGGGCTTGCAGATACTCAGGAATGAGTCAACGCAAGGGAAGCACAGGGAGATCAATCAGGTGACTTTTCTTCTGCATATACTTCTGTTGCTTTGGGGAGAAAATAGGGAAAAAGAAGGAAATGTGCTAGCACGGCTTCGGGACTTGACTAGGACCCCCCGCCCCCCATCCTAGGGGAGGGCTGTGCAGGGTCCCACAGAGGACACTATGTCCAGGGCAACAGGCACGAGCAGAAAAAGAAAGAAATAACAACCCATTGCCTTTAGAGCAGCCCTTCCTGGCTCTGGAAAAGGCACACGGGCAGACGACTGGAAACCGTCTTGTTGTCTGACACGTGGAGACGTTATACCTCTTTCATTTTTATTTTCAGGTAGAGTGAGACATATAGGTCAATATGCAGGAGAGGCAATGTAGGCCTGAGAGTGGTGGTATGAGAACCTTACCCGTTTGCATTTCCTGGCTCTGGAATTTGTTTCCTCATCTGTAAATTCAACTTAACACAGAGGGAGTTTGTGTTTAGGTTTTTTGTTTGTGTTTTTTGCATTTTAAATTCCCACAAACCAGAAGACAAAATAGAATTTACATTTATACATAGGACCTGCTACCAATACCAATATGACTTTATTGGAATATGGAATGTAAACAGATGTTTCAAACAAACAATCTAACCTTATGTAAAAAAGTATGGCATTATTAAATAGTTAATAAAGAAATCCTACAGGGTGGTAGACACCTCTAGTTCTAGCCTAAATATGTAAAGTCTCCACTGTTGCCAGATAGTTTTTCCAGCAGAGACCTCCAAGAGGCAGCTGTGATTGACAGGCCCAACCCATGTTGAACAGTGCTGGTGAGGAGTTTCAAGGGCAGGCCCATAAAATGAAATCACAGCCTTACAGCTCAAAAATCCAGCTTACTCTGCTAACACATGTGGATTAGCATCCCAGATTCAAATCTGTTCACACTTGTTCCAATGGTGCTACTCCTTTCCTTAACTGAAGTCCTATGTCCCCATCCCCATGCCCCACCCCAATCTCTTCTTCAGTAACCGAGGTTATTTCAGGGCCTTTCTAACACTACTCCAGATTCTTGACACACGAATGATATTTATCTCATCCAAGCAGAATACTGTAGGTTTCTGCATCTAACACGTCAGAACTTGAAAGAATACATTTCTCTGATTTCCATGAGAAGTCATTTCTTTCACAGGGGGAAAGGAGGAAAGGGGGAAGAAAAGTTCCCTACTGACACTCTGCCCAAAGTCTTTTCTGAATGAACTAAGGTGGCACACTCTTCTCTTTCCTTTTATAAACCAGAGGGTGGCCACCAGTTTCAACCCAGTTATCCCAATTAAGAGGCACTGACTTTTTTTCCTCAACACTGCTGGCTGTAAACGATAAGCCTATGTTTCAGCATTAAAATATGTACATGGAGAGTCTGGGGCAAGGAAATCCTCTGAGATTCCGCCACTGCTGACACAGAAAAAGGCTAAGCCAGGAAAAAAACCCCACAGTCTTAGAAGCATACAAACCAGCACTGGCTGCAGCGAGCTTTGGGGCACACACACTTATACAAAGAACAACTGCCCTGGGCAGTGACATCAAGTGACTGAAAGTGATGACAGATGACACCCAAGAGGACTGGTTTGCAGCAAAGATCTCAGTCACTCGCATATTCTCGGAGACTTAAAGGAAAACTGCAGTGATGAGGGACAGTCCCTGGAGAGCTCAGGCCATTAAGAAAATGTGTAAAACATGAATTTGTAAAAGAGCTTAAAAAAAAAAAAGGAAAGAAAGAAATACTGTCACTTTTCCCATCTCCTTTGGGTCAGCAGCGGCCGACATTCTGCTCAAACCTGAGCCTGCATCTCCCCAAAGGAAACCAGGACCACAATGGAATAGACAGGAAGTCAGACAGTCAGAGTTTGTTGGCTGGGCTGGTCACCTGAACAGTGGTTTCCTGTAAAATGAAAATTACACCACAACAACTCTGAGCTTCTCATCTCCCATTCATTCCAAAGGGAAGAGGCCTTTCCCTAGATCTTAAAGTGTGCCAGACTATTGGCTATTCCCTTTTTACTGGGAATTCTCTTTTTTTTGATAAGCTAAAAAAAATTTCTTAACTCTTCTTTGCATTTAGAAGGAACGATCAGAATTTCTCATATCACACTGTAGTTTTCCTTCAAGATTTTTTTTTGGTTGGATGTTTTATTGGTTATCATCAATCTTGAATTACCCGTCGTTTTCCAGTCTTCATCGTGCTGCTGTGAGACCACTGGAGAGCACAGAATTTTCTGAGCTTGGCTGGGACTGCTCCTTCACCACAGGGTCTACAAAAGAGTAAGACTAGTGTCAACCAGGAAGCAAAGGTGAAATAGGTGGACAGGGCCTCTTAGGTCACTTTCCAATTTCAAATACTAAAAGATCCAGAAAGACGGAAAAACCTAGGGTCAGCAAGCAGAAAGGAATGAATGTGGTGGTGAAGAATAAATACTACTCAAAGAAAAAAAGAAAATTTCACAAAAACAAATTGCTAAAATTGCTCCTACAATCAATTAAAAAAACTCAATTTTATTTTCAGGTACACATTATTCTCTCTCCTACCTCCCCACCATCTCATCCCCTGACACGTGCAGTTAAGCAAAACAAATCCCTGCACTGGCCATGTCCAGTCTGCATTGAGTCCTTCAGATCTCTCTCAGGAAGCGGACAGGTAGACATCCCGTTTCACCACAAGGCCTCTGGAATTGTGATCACTGTGCTGATCAGAGTTCCCGAGTCTTTCAAACTTTTTTATCTTTACAATATTACTGTATAAATTATTCTCCTGATTCTGTTCACTTTGCTCTGCATTGGTTCATAAAAGTCTTCTCAGGTTTTTCTGAAACCATTCCCTTCACCATTTCTTACAGCACCTCACTATTCCATAACATTCATGTTCTAAATTGCTCAGCCGTTCCTGCAATCAGCTTTTGATCTGACGCTAATATTTCCCCAAACTGCTGAGACTGCTGACTGTAAATTCCTACAAAAAGGCGAAGGAAACCCTGGCTCCTCCACTGAGGCTAAGATCTCATGCCTGGCAGTTTGCTGTTAATACTGTTTACCAGCCAATAATAATCGCTGACCTACAGATGTGACTTTAAGCTGTGCAAAGCGCTTTAAACGTCCTACAGGCTTGATGCCTGTTTTAAAAAAAAGGAAAAGGAAGATCAGAGATGTTGAGCTATTTGCCCACATCAAGAGAGTAATGCCACAGGCAGAAGCCTCCCAGCCCAGGTCATGCCCCTACTACACAATGCTCAGACAGCCTATGGCACAGAGGCCAACTCAAAGCGGCCGGCAGCTTCAATCTCAATTTTACAGACTGAACATTGGCACAGTTAGCTTCCCTAGGCCCTGAGCTCTTCACCTACCATTAAGTAGTAATCCCAATCACAGAAAGGATAGTTAAGATTATTTAGCACACCTCAAAAGTTCAAACGACTATAAAAATTCTCAACAGTGAAGCCTCCACCTAAACTGCACATGCCTGAATATTAAAGACATAATAAGAAGTTAGGCCAGTAAGAATTTTATTTGCTTTCTTTTCTGCAAACACTTTTCATTTCCTTCTTTCATAAGCGATTTATCCCACTCTGAAATACACACTATCTTCATCTCTTTTATGTGAATATTTTTATATATTTTTTGTTAAGCTTTGATCCCATGTCTGTGGGCCAACATCAACTGCTTTCTCTAGCTTTTAAGTTAACAGCACACAGGCATTAATTCTAGCCAAACATTATCCAGTTCTACAAATAGCCCCCTTTCTTCAAGGGGAAGCAGGCCCCTTACAGATCTCATTAGTGTGAGATAGATGGGACTGGCCAATGATGGTTTTCAAGGACAGTCCAACCAAAACTTCTACAATGCATCCATCAACTGATCTCTATTTCTATACAGACTAGAGACTGATCTCTGCACTTACAGAAATAAGGGTGTTCCATGGCCTCTTTGGCAGTCAGCCTTTGTTGATGGTCATAGCGCAGAAGCTTGTCCAGGAGATCCAGGGCCTCAGGACTGACGAGATGTCTATTCTCACTATGGATGAAGTTTTCCCAGCGTTTTCGAGAGTGTCTGAAGGACGAATGAAGCCTTAGTGTCTGAACCTAAACAACTCCCAACTAGAGCTATGACCATATTAAAATAACGGCCTCTTTCATTAATTAAACCTTCCAAATTTGATTTAGAGCTTTTCTTCTATACTAAAAAACATTTTTTCCTAAGTCTTTTTTCAGTTTTGTGACAGAACAATGTAAGTAAATCCACCCTGATTATGACCTTTAGGAGATGTTCTCTGGCATCTAAGGGGTTCCCTCCTAGAAGCGCTGTGCAACACCTGGACACTTAGTGTAGCTTTAAAATTAGATCATTTTCTAAACCATCACATTGTATTAAATCTACTACATAAAGTGCTAGTGACTTTACAATCACTCTCTAATATTCAGCAAAGCTTTCTTCCTGAAAAAAAGCCTGTTCTTCCCCTCATTTTTCTCTTTTCTACATTTTCTTTGTTTAATTCTATGGGTTTGCTCAGGATTATTAACTTTGACTAATCATTTTCCCCATATGAACCTGCTTTTGAATTAACAAAGTCATTCATATTGTATGGAGAAACAGTTCTGATTTCCAGACACAAGTAAATTCCATTTGCATGTTTTACCATGAGAAACTAAAATTTTCAGTTTTAATTTCAATATAACTGTAAAACTGAATGAAGCAATTTTAAAGATGTACTTTCACAGACTGTGTCACCTCCCTCTGAAATAAGATAAACTGCAAAGCCCTCCCACTCTCTTACTTACTGCCCCAGGATATCGTTGAAGTGTGGGTCCAGGTCTATGTGATACTTCTTCAGATATCCATATAACTCATCTGTACCAAGTACTTTGGCAATCCGGACAAGCTGAAACACAACAGAGATTTAACAAAACCACCATGCAGCAAATTCCCTGCCAGCTGTCAAGGAAGCTGTATTAGGATGATGGCCACAGTGACCGATATGTCTCTGCCAAATTAAATCGATATCATCAACTACACCAAGAACAAATTTGGTATCCAAGCTTCCCATTATTATTTACTTTAACTGAGTACACATTAAGCACCATGAGATGATGACAGCCTGCGCTGGAGTTGGGGAGACGCCACAAAGGTGAATCAACAGGCCCCGACAACAGCTCGGTTATGGGGGGTGAGAGAGAGAGGAGTTCAGGATGATGCCTGGGGGACTGGGGAGATGGTGCTGCCCTCACCAGTCATAGGGAAGGTGGGAGAGAGGGGAGGGGTGGGGGAAATATAGTGAGTGCTGTTCTGGAAATGCTGAGTTTGGGATGTTTACTGGACATCCTGCATGAGAGGGCTGGAAGGCAACTGAAGATGCGAGATTGGACATTACGGATCAGAGAAATGCGAATCAAAACAACTCTGAGGTACCACATCACACCTATCAGACTGGCCAACGTGACAGAACAGGAAAATGAGAAATGTTGGAGAGGATGTGGGACAATTGGAACACTAATACATCATTGGTGGAGTTGTGAAATGATCCAACCATTCTGGAGAACCATTTGGAACTATGCCCAAAGGGCTACAAAGATGTGCATACCCTTTGATCCAGCAATAGCACTTCTAGGGCTATATCCCAAAGAGATCATACAAATGGGAAAAGGACCCACATGTACAAAGATATTCACAGCAGCTCTTTTTGTGGTGGCAAAGAAATGGAAATGGAGATGATGCCCATCCATTGGGGAATGGCTGGGCAAGTTGTGGTATATGAATGTAATGTAATACTATTGTGCTATAAGAAATGATGAACAGGCTGACTTCAGAAAAACCTGGGAAGACTTATATGGTCTGATGCTGAGTGAAGTGAGCAGAACCATGAAGACTTTGTATACAATAACAGCCACGTTATGCGATGACAAATATTATTAAACTGAACCCTTCTTGGTATTACAAGGATCTAAGACATTTCCCGCGGCCTCGTGATAGAAAATGCTGTCCACATCCAAAGAAAGAACTATGGAAGTTGATTTGCTATCACTTATTTTTACCTTCTGTTAAGTTTTGTTTCATCTTTCTGATGGTTCCTCCTATTGGTTTTAATTTTTACTTACAACTTCACTGATGTGAAAATATGTTTAATAGGAATGTAAATGTAAAGCCTATATCAGACTGTGCGCTGTCTTGGGGAGGGTGGGGGGGAGGAAGGGGGAGAAAAATTTTCAACTCAAAAGAATATGGAAGTGATTGCTAATAAATCAAAATAAATTAATAAAATAAAAAAAAAGAACAGAGCATTAAAAAAAAAAAGATGTGAGATTGGAGACCAGTAGAGAGACTGGGGCAGGAAAGGTAGACTGGAGAATCATCAGCATAGAGATGGTCATTAAATCCATGGGAGCTGATGAGATCCCCGAGGGAAACATATAGAGGAAGAAGAGAAGAGGGCCCAGAACAGAGCCCTGAGGGACACCTATGGTTAGAGGGTATGATCTGGATGACGATCCAGCAAAGAAGACTGAGCAGAGGCAGTCAGGTAGGAGAAGAATCAGGACAGAGTATTGTCCTGAAAATCAAGAGAGAAGAGAATATCAAGGAGGACAGGGTGATCAACAGAGTCAAGAGAGGTCAGGGAGAATGAGGACACAGAAAAGGCCCCTGGACTTGGCAACTCAGAAATCTGGGGTAACTCTGGAGAGCAGTGGAATGATGAGGTCAGAAGCCAGATTGTAAGGGCTTAAGAAGAGAGTGAGGAGAGAGGACTACCACAGTCTACCATCGTAGCCTGTGAATAACCGTGAGCTGTTACTGAAACGAGACTGGAAAAGTAAGCTGGAGGCCGATTGTGAAAGGCTTTCCTCCTAACGTCAGATGCTTCTTCATGCTTTCTCTGGAAAAGATGGGGAGCCTTTGCAAACGTTCTGAGAAGTGACAGGACACTTATCAACGATGGCATTACCGCCACATCACATTTACATAATGAGTCCCAGCTCTCAAAGAGATCTGACCCTCCCACGCCTGACAGCTCTGCAGCAGAGGAGCCAAAACTGCAACACGGCCCGCTCAAAGTCCTCAGGCTTCCAAGTAGCAGAGAGCCAGGGGCCAGACCTGCAGCCTCTGCCACACCCCCTCTCTAATTCAGGGAGCATGGTGGGTGGAGAGGCCCGAGTCTTTCAGGGACACAGATAACAGGATGCTGGGCTCTCTACCACTAAGCCCAAGGAATTGCCCTAGCCATCCTCCCACCCCACTGTGACGGCAGAGGCAGCTGAGGGGGAATCAGAGACTTCTCAAAGGCCAGATCTGGCCCTGCTCTTCTTGAGCTGTGATCAAGAGCAATTCAGGTAATATCTCAGAACCACAGATTTCCCCTCTGGGGCTATCTGAGCCAGGGGCTGCAGAGTATAACAGAAGGGGCCAGCCTGCGGTGCCTGTGAGACACACTAGCTGGGGGACAAGCACGTCCCTCAGTCTCCTCTCTCAGGAGCCAGGCAGCTCTCCAAGACTGGCAGAGCACAAAGGCCCGACAGTGCCTCCTCACCTGGTCGTAGTTGTCTTGGCCATGGAAGAAGGGCTCCTTTCGGAAGATCATGCTGGCCAGCATACAGCCTAAGCTCCACATGTCCAGACTGTAGTCATACATCTGAGGAGACCAGGGAGGCCACAGTGAGCCAGGCTGGCAGGAGCCCATTCCCCCTAGCCCAGCTCTCCCAGCCTTCACTGGGACGGCCCACTGAGAAAAGACTGAAAACAAAGGCTATGGCGAACCCTTCCCAACAGAGCCCAAACCAACAACTGGGCAGTGTTACCTGGTAGTCCACAAGGAGCTCTGGCCCTTTGAAGTACCTAGAGGCCACGCGCACATTATACTCCTGAGCAGGATGGTAAAATTCTGCCAGCCCCCAGTCTATCAGTCGAAGCTAAAGACAGGACAAAAACAGAAATGCATCAAGAATGTTTCCAGATTTCTGCCCTTTAAGACAATGGCCCAACATACTGGAACAGGCCACATTTCCTAACTATTTTAAATTTCTTTACAGTTTTCTACTTAAAATGACATTAACTTTTATTAGTTGGATGGTCATTATTTCCAGTGCAAAGGTCTCCGGTTCTGCTATTTCCCAGGTTTTTTAAAGTTACGCTAGCTTCTCATCTCCTGAGATTGTCCACTGTCTAATACCAGACGACCAACCCACTTCCTATGGACATCCCCATCCCACAGATCACTAGGATAATGACCACAGTCTAGAAAAGCCTAACAAGAACTCTGGCTTGGCCTGAAGGCCTTAAAAGATGAGACAGAACCCACTGACCATCTTTTCTCCTGGGGACCCAACACAAACCCATGGCTGCTGAACAACAATGGGCTGAGGAATTCCAGTCTGGGGTGAAGCCTGCACCCTCCTGGGGTCTGAAGCAGTGACTTGGAAACCAGCACTTGGAGGTGAGGAAAGAACAGCAACACGACACACAGCCCGCACCAGTGTTTCAGTCTGCTCTCGAGCATGAGGGCATTACCTTTTTCTGTTGGTGATCTATCATAACGTTGTGAGGTTTGACATCTCTGTGCATGATTCCCATGCTATGACAGTAATCCAGGGCCTGGTCAACAGAGAACACAGACAGAGGAGAAACGATGACGTACAGGACCCTCGTGATCTGGCCCTGGCCTCTCCACCTCCCCCTGGGACACCCCAGCCTAAGTAAATGGAACCCAGGGCAGACGACCATAACAAATTACGATCAGTTGAGAACAAAGATGTCGTCTCATGTAAGATGAAGTAGAAAATATTAAGTTACACGACTCAGAAGCCACATTCTTGATAGCTGAGAGCAACACTTGCCCTCCTTGAAGGGCAAGGAGGAGAAGAAAAGCAACTCTAACCCCACGGAGAATGTTTAGGACTGAATGATGTTCCCTAGAATACTGATACAGCCAAAGAAACCAGGGACCAGGTTCAGAGACTTGCCCAAGGTCACCGAGGCACTGAGCAGTCAAGCACTCATCTTCAGCCTCAGAAGACAATTCAAAATGCCAAACTGTCAGAAGCTGAGGAAAGTTATCAGGGAAGAAAGGAAAGCAGGGCGGCGTCCCCTGCTTGCACTGCAATCCCTTTTGCAACAGTAATGCTCGGCCCTGTCCCACATATCTTTCTACCTACTCGGTTCCCCATACATTGTTTTTAAGCAAGAATCCGTTTGTTTAGCGGAGTTACTCTTTTGTAAACAGTGGATCTGTCCCTAATTACAGTTCAAGCAGCCAGCCACGTGTGCAAGGCCATGAGAATGGGAAGAAATGGCAGCCAAAGCATCTTTCTTAGCTGTGCCCTTAGGTGTCCCATGTAGGATTCCAGCCCGACATTCTGAGAATTATTACTAGCTTCCTATGACCACCCCTGGAGAGGAAGGGGCTCAAGACATTTTGAGTCTATTGTCCTAGAAGGGGAAAAGTGCTCCCGTGGAAACTGTGTTCTAAGGAGACAGCGAAAAATAGAAAAACCTTAAAATTAAAATTAAGGTCCCCTTAACCTATTGGAAAGAGACACCAAACACATATATAACAGAGACTACAGACATAGAAGCACTTGAGTTTTTGACAGTGCTCAGATAATTGTGTTGATGAAAAGTATTTTGAGCTCTCTCAGCTGGAGCTGTCTCATTTCTCATCTGCAGAAACTCTGCCTCCCGTTCCCCACTGTGGGCAGAGTGCCCTGGGCTCAGCGGGAGAGCGGGGACAGGAGGGAACGCCCCACTGTGCCTTATTGCCAGCGTGGAGCTGCTGAAGGGACAGAGGGCACTGCAGCACAGGTGCAGAAACCCCTGGGAGTTCCATGCTATCACGGCGAGGACCATGCTGCCTAGAATAAAGCCCTCTGGAGAGATTACTCTTTGCACTGGAGAAGTGTTACCTCAGTGAGATTCCAATGTTTTGCTCAAAATATCTTATGAAATCGAGACTCCTATGGAAAGGATTCTGGATGTGAATCAGGAGCTCATACCAGAACATGCAACCAACTCTCAATGAAATACTGAGCAATCATTGTTTCAGGTTTTCCTCGCCTGCATAACTGGGCAGCCTTCCTCATTCCCACTCTCCATCCCACGACTTTCCTCACCGAGATGCTGGACAAACGGACATTATGTTTATTACTTATGTTAACATGGGCTGGTTTTGTATTTAGCCTTTGCAAAAAAAAAGGGAACTTAGGAACAAGTAGGGCTGGGATTTAAGAAGTGCTTTGCAAAGGTGACAAACGAATAAACAAAATAAACGCATCAGTACTTAATGCCTTTAAATCAGTAACTTCACTACAGTCCTCTCTCTCAGTTACTGACCACTAAGAGTGCAAACGTGGGTCTGCTGTGCCATATACCTCATCAGCAGGAGAGACTGCTCAAGGAGATGCCCCCCAAAAAGGTTAGGCATGGGACAAAAACACTAAGGCAAGAAGGGAGTTTTTATAATCATTGCTTTGGGTCTGTCCACCAATTTAGGAAAGTCTCAAGTAAATGCCTACAAGTAAACATTACATTCATTTCAGAGCTATAGCTCCTTATAATCCTTTTCCTTAGAAAATATAACCTTCAACTCTGGGATTCTGTTTTAGAAACTGTTGACACAACATTAGCACTATTTTGTTCTGATAATTTTCTTCCACAGTGACAATAACCCGCCGACCCATAAGTACTTCATTCCAAAACCTTTCTGGACTTCCCCATTTACGCTTATTTGTTTGCTGCTAAGGAGCCATTTAATTCCTTTGTAAACTACAGAAAGATCGCAAAGGTTCACAATGCCTGTGGTTCTCAATGTGCTTCCTCAGTCTTTTCTGACTACACATCAGGCCCAAACCAGCTGCGGATTAGGGCAGAGCTAGCCACAGGTCTCATCCTAAAGAGGAACTAAGTGGAAAAAAAATTAAAACATCATGAAAAGTAACAGAAATTAGGAGGTTCTCATCTCTAGAAAAATTTTTATAATGCATCTGACCAATTTTCCTTTTAAAAAGCACATGTAACTTGGGACCCCCCAAAACAACAGCTGAAACCACAATTTCAAGAGATTTTCCGAAAACTTATCTGAAAATGTATTCAACTGGGATGTAAAAAATGTTTTGAGAAGTTCAGGTTCATCTGCTCATTCTTCTCTTTCAATGTATCAGTTTTCCCAAAAAGTCTGTTTACAAATTCCTGACTGCTTATGAATGTCACTTACCTTAAGCAGTTCATACATATAAAACCGGATGTCAAAGTCTGTAAGGATCTGGTATAGTTGCTGAAATGAATTATGGCAAAAAAAAAGTCAGTTCAATCATGATGCTCTTTTGCATTTCCCCCAGTGTCTGTCACTTTCTATATCATACCTCTTCAGTGACAAAGTCCCTACAGGATTTACCATCAGGATGTAGAGAGCTTCCAGGGAAAATTCAGAAACCAATGGCAAAAAGCTAACGTTATTTCACACTTTTTGAGAAGAGGGAGGGAAAAGTTCAGTTGAGGAGAAAAAAAAGAAGCTACCAGAGGTCATATAGGACCCTGCCTTTCTCTTTCCCATCATCTTTCCTTGCAGAACACAGAGGTAACCTGGGCCCCCCAAAGCAACAGCTCAAACCACAACTTCAAGAGATTTTCTGAAAATCTGTCTAAAAATAGATCCAGCTGGCCTGTAAGAAACGGTGTACAAAGTTCAGGTTCACCCAGTCTTCTCTCTCAATGGATCAGTTCCCTCAGAGAGTCTGTTTAAAACTTCTTGACTGCTTATGAATGCAGTCTTTCCATAAACAATGCCCAGAAGCTGCCCCACAATAAAGACAGCATTAAAAACTACACCAGCTACCAAACTAGCCCTATATGGCACCACAGTTCATTTAAGAACATTCACAGTGAGGGGTAGCTAGGTGGTGCAGTGGATAGAGCTCTGGCCTTGGAGTCAGGAGGACCCGAGTTCAAATCTGGCCTCAGACACTTGATACTTACTAGCTGTGTGACCCTGGGCAAGTCACTTAGCCCCAATTGCCTCTTCAAAAAGCAAAAAATTAAAAAAAAAAAAAGAACAACATTCACAATGAGTTGCTAAGCTGATAATCAAGTCTTGAGGACATATCACTGGCTTACTTGGAACTCTGTTAACCAGCTGGTGAAACTGTTTGAAGAAAAGACACAAACTGCAAAGCTGGGGCTGCTTTAGGGACTATGAGGCTGGCACTGTAAAGCTGGCAAGGGCCAAGTAAGGCACTTTCCCAAAATTCCTCTTCCCTCCTCCCCAAACCATTCTCTAAAGGGAAAAAGATGCTGAACTGGCCATAGTTAAGAAGTGAAGATGAATAAAGCATTTCTGGCAGAAAACGTGTTCAAAGAGGAGCCTTCAGAAAAGATTAAGTAATCACAGGCTAATATGGCATAAAAATGGAAACTTGTATTATTGATGGTCCACCAGACACACCTCTACCTACAATAGAATCTAGGTTCCCAATGGGAATTTTAGTCACTTAAATGCTGTGAGAGATCAGAGAGGCATTTGAAGACTCAATCCATTCTAGTCACCATAGAACCCAGCCAGAAAACACCACTGATCTTTCTGCTACCCCATTACTTATAAAGGGACAATATCTGAAGGATCAGAGGGACACATTTGAGACACAGCTAATGCTGCTTTGCTTCCCTTGATTATACTTCAGCTGCCAGAGGGGTGAGCCTAGTTGAGGGGAAGCCGAGTCCGTGCATAACCCAAATACAAAAGAACACCAGTAAATCATTCAATAATCCAAAGAAAACAAGTTCAGAAGGGGACATAAACAAGGCAATTTTGTTCAATTTAATCTATATTTTTTAAAAATGACCTAAGTTGGGGCAGCTAGGTGGCGCAGTGGATAGAGCACGGGCCCTGCAGTCAGGAGGACCTGACTTCAAAACCGGCCTCAGACACATAACACTCACTAGCTGTGAGACCCTGGGCAAGTCACTTAACCCCAATTGCCTAAAAACAAAACAAAACAAAAAATGACCCAAGTTCAGCTTCTTATAAATCTTTTTTGCTTTGTATATTAAAATGTGTTAATGATTAAGTTCATAACAAAGACAAATTTTAAAAAACTGAACTATTTCCTATGTTCTAACTTGCTCAGTCTTGGCATTTTACTTCTCATCCTACAATGTATCAGCACCTCCACCAACCTTATCCTTCTCCACTCTCCACACAGAAGAAGGCTATGAATTTTAAGAGGTCACTCCAATTATCCTAGCAACTATTTTCTCCAAGAATAAAATCTCTATCAAGCTTTAAGATAAGCATTTCTAAATGTCTTCTTTTAAAATGAGGATAGGTTTGGGGCAGTTAGGTGACGCAGTGGATAACGCACTGGCCCTGCAGTCGGGAGGACCTGAGTTCAAATGTGGCCTCAGTCACATAACACTCACTAGCTGCGTGACTCTGGGCAAGTCACTTAAACCCAACTGCCTCACCCCCCTCCCAAAACAAACAAACAAACCCCCACCCCAAACTCAGAAAATAAAAAAAGGATACATTTATTCGAAGCTCAATGAAATAATTTTAAGAACAGTTGCTAACTCCAGACATGTTGGTTTCAGCTCAAGGGAACTGAAATTCACTTATCAGTAAAATGGAGGTGACTGAGGGACCTCTTCAACACTGGAGCTGCACCTCAACATGGGAGCCAGTATTTATTCCTAATTTGGTACTGCACAATGGGATCCTAAGTCATCTCCACCATGTATCTGGGATAAATGCCATCAGCCTGTCCATGCTAAATGGTGTTAATCTCATTAAACACAAGGCAACACCAAATTTTTTATCCTCCACACAGTAACACTTATCTAGCACCTCCTATGTGCCAGGCGCTGTACAAAGCACTTTACAGTTATCACCTCATTTGTCTTCAGAACTCTTTGAGGCAGGTGCTATTTTTAACCTCATTTTACAGTTTAGGAAACTGAGGCAGGGAGAGGTTGGGGTGAGGCCAGATTTGAACTCAGGTTTTTCTGATTCCAGGTGCAGGCTCTATCCACTGTGCCACCAGCTATAGAAAGTATGTTCCTAAGAGTCAGAAATTCCTTAGTATTCCAAGCTCTCAAGTTCCCTAACTAAGGAACTAAGTTCCCACCCTACTTTGTCTTACCTGAGCCCTACATGCTCCAGTCATGTGACTTTAGCCCCTTGTGACCCCCTACTTCTGTGGGGGGTATTTGTCCTGTTTAGCTCACCTAAAGCACTCGATGCCTTGCATTACTGATCTGGCACTGAGGCTACTCTGACATTTTCACGTGTATCATGTCAAGCAGGGAATGGCCCCTGTGCCTCACCATTCTTCCTCGTGTCCCCACGGCCTGCAGCATGGCACCTCGTACCTCTCAGCAGGTTTTCATGACGTTGCTCTTCCCGGTGCCCTTTCAACCTATCTGGCCAATCCTTCTCGGTTCCTCTGGTGGATGGGAGTGTCCCAAGGCTCCATGCTGGGCCCTCTAATTTTCTCCCTCTGTACTTGGTGATCTCACTGGCTCCCATGGATTCACTTACCGTCTCTACACAGAATGTTTCAGACCTATTCATCCAGCCCTAACCTCCAGTATCACGACACCAACTGCCCACTGGTTATTTTGAATCATGATGTCCAAAAATGAAGATATTCTCTTTTTCCTCAACCTTCCCTCTTCCTAACTTTCCTATTACTGTCAAGGGCACCTAGGCCCAGGATCACAACCTAGGTGTCATCTGCAATTGCACACTCTCTTCTCACTTTGTATTCAATCTGCTGCCAAGACCTCTTTAAATCCATCTCCACCACCACTGCCTCTCATCCCATACCCCTCTACCAGCCCCCTGGTGCAGGCCTTCCTCACCTCATTCCTGGACTATTGCAATGGCCTGCCAGTGGGTCTGCCTGTCACATCCAATTCATCCTCCACTCAGCCGCCAAAAGTGACCTTCCTGAAGCCCAGGTACGACTGTCACCCACCTATTCAATAGCTTTATCAATAGATAATCAGTAGGTTATCTCCAAGATCAACTGTAAAATCTTCTGGCTTTGAAAGCCCTTCATCAGCTGTCCTGCTCCTGCCCTTCCAGTCTTCTTACAGCTTAACCCCCTCCATGTACTCTGTGATACAGTGACATCAGCTTCTTTGCTGTTCTTTATACAAGATGCTCCCAACTCCGTGCACTTTCACTGGCTACTTTCCATGCCTAGAACTCTCTCCTTCCTCGTCTCCATCTCAGGTCCTCCCTGACAGTCCTGTTAAAAATCCATCTTTTCCAAGAAGCCTTTCCCAGTTCCCCTTAATGCTAGTCTCTGTTTATTATCTCCAACTTATCCTTTCTGTACTGCATTGGGACATACACGTTTGCATGTTGTCTTCCTCATTAGAATGTGAGCTGCCTGAGAGCAGAAATTACCTTTTGCCTTTCTTTGTATCCCCATAGCTTAGCACAGTGCCTGACAAAGTATAGGCTTAATGTGTGCTGATGACAGCTGATGCTCGAGGTTCAACAGGTCAACAGAAATAACAGCATCCTGCTCTACAATGAATATGACATGATCAGAAGGAAATGGCTCTTTTAGATCTAAGAAATTCACATCTAGAACAATTATTTTTTTAAGGCAATTGGGGGTAAGTGACTTGACCAGGGTCACACAGCTAGTAACTGTCAAGTGTTTGGTCTGATGCCGGATTTGAACTCAGGTCGTCCCGGCTTCAGGGCTGGTGTGCCCCTAGAACAACTTTTCACGTGAAATTATAAAATATACTCATTTTAAAAGATAACCGAAGATGTGAATAAAGGCAAAAAAATACCTACTGCTGATTGTGACATAACTGAGTATAATATATCTAGGATAGACACTGCAGTTGTACAAATGGGTCCAAAATGAAAAGACAGTGGGCTGTATTGCTTTTGGGGAAACTGTACTAGCTGAGCCTCGAAATAAAAGTCCATTTTTTTTTTAATATACCACTATTCTTCTGCCCTACATACTCCAGTCATGTGACTTTAGCCCCTTGTGATCCCCTACTTCTGTGGGTGGTATTTGTCCTGTTTAGCTCACCCTTCCTTCCCCATCCCACACACCCATTCATCAAGGCCAATCTCCAATCTCCATTTTCCCAGACACCTGCAGTCAGACAAACGACAATTCCAACTGGCAGTCACCAAAAAGGCAATGGAAAACACACACAGTGGATGTAAGGAGTCAATAGCTTATTACCAAAGATGATGCAATACAAGAAATGGCACAATATACTTTATCTGAGAGACGTATGATT